GTACTCTTGGTCTTGGATGGAAACCCTCTAGCGACACGTTGTCCTACGATCATTGTACAATTCATATCCTTTTTTGAATTATATTAATTTATTAAGTATCTCGGCATTTAATTTACACCATCTATCCGCTAAAGATAGAACAGTGTGTGATAACTAACACGCACACAAGTTCTTTTCAAAAGTATACGACGCGATTATGAATGACTACCGTCAACAATCTGTCAACAAGTTGTGTTTTTTAGGGAATAGAATTGCAATTTTTTTTGGAAAAAAAGGTTATTTTTATTTCAATAAACGATTATACTACCGAGTCTGAACCTCCTGTGTGAATTTGGGCACCTTTAGAAAAGCCACCCTGTATAATATTTATACATATCATTAATAGTGTTCATTGGGCAACGATGTTAAGGTGCTACCGTATGCGGATGATTTGTGATTTTATAATATAAATAAGTTCATAGTAAAAGCTACATTGGCTCTAGATTCTTCCCTTCATCAATGAAAGAAATGGCTTTTCCAAAATAATTCTGAACTTGCACCATCAAAAAGCACAATAGTATTATTTTCTAGATTCCGATTACCGTCCTCATTAAATACAAAATATTATAATTCCACTGGAAAATAATGTAAAATTTTTAGGGCTCCTCTCGATCGAACACCTCCGCTTATTCGAGACATAAGTCTTTACCCTGTTTAATAATTAGTTTTCGAAAATTTGTCCATTCAATCTCCTGTTCATCGTTGTCCTTGTTGTCCTTTAGTTTTGAAAGTTTTATTATCTCACCTAATGTTTGTTTAAACTTGAGCACCAACAGAAATTTCGTTACAACTAATTATGATTTTAATTCTGTGATAGACAATCATTTCCAAGATTGACATCGCATTTACACTGATGATTCGAAACATACTTCTTATGTTGGATTTGGTGTTTATCACCAACAATTTAATATAGTCCAAAAAATTAAGTTTCCTCCTGAAACATCTGTTTTTACAGGGGAATGTTTTAGTATCTTCAAAGCATTAGAATACATTTTGCTAATGAAGTTAGAAAAACCTTTATATTAACTGATTCTAAAAGCGCTTTAATGGCGATTCTAAGATATCCATTTCAATCTAAACCCATGTATCCTGTAATATTTAATAATTTTTAATTGTGTTTTAAGATGATATTTCGCGATGTTTGCCTGGATTCCAGGATACGTTGGTTGTATAATATACAGTTTGTCTTATGTAATACATAGGTGGCGTTAGTAATAAATTAAAACACACTGCGGTGGGCGATGCCTGCCTTTGGAGAAGAAGAAGTCAACACAGTGTCGTGCTCTATAACTATTAATTACCTCGGTGCAGACGGAGCTGGGTGTCAGCGAGATATCAGCTCAGGTCGACCTGGTGTTCACAAAGAAGTTTTAAAGTGTGTGAGTGCGTAACGGTTACAATTCAAGGACAATCGTGAGTACTTTGAACAACATCTAGTTTTAAAACTTTTGGACGTTTGACTTTGATTGCAAAAATGGATCCTCTCATTAATTTTCAAAATGATTTAAGTTCACGTATTTCCAAGGCTAGAGTTAATTTTAAGAAATCGCTGAAAGAGCGTTTGACAAAAGAATATGTAGAAAGTAGAGTTGAAGTAATAGAACAATTGTGGTTTGAAGTTTTGTCTGGTCACAAAGACTTAATGCATTAATACCAACCTAAAGAATTAAACAGTTCAAGTTACATCACAAACGAAGTATATGATAAAATCGTCATTGAATAAATTAAATAGTTTGAATATTAGCGTCAATGCAAATATTACTAGTCATGTTAAATATCCAAAAATTAATATTCCTAACTTTTCTGGAAATTACGCAGAATGGACTACGTTTAGGAATATACGAAGACGATCAAGAAATAGAACTACACGGTTTCTGCGATGCGTCGAAGTCAGCATACGCAGCAGTTGTGTACGTTCGTGTTCTTAACTCTAATGGACAGGTATCAGTCTCTTTAATTTCAGCGAAGACAAAGGTAGCTCCTGTGAAACAAGTTTCAATACCTAGTGTTGCATTTTAGACCTTCACTTTCCTCATTAAAGTTAAAATATTTATAATCTGTATAAAAATTACTAAAACTATATTTTTGTTATCTGTGGGTAGGCAGTCTGTGGTTAACGCGAATAAAGGAACGGTGGTCGTAAAAATATTAAGTTTTATTTTATCCAAAAATATCTCAAATTAAAGGTGCGATCATCAAATTTTATCCCAACCTAACGGCAGAGGCGGCGCTGCGAAAGAGAAATCGGGATATCTGGCGACCGTAAGTAGGAAAAATGGACCACAAGAAAAAATTGCGCCGTGCCACGCGTTCACAGTTTACCAAAATTGCCGGTCAGCTAAACCAAGCCGAAGGCAATGATCGCGAGACATATTTAAAATTATTAGCAGAGGTCTACGCAAAATTACAAAGCTTAGATAGAGAAATCGAAGATCTAATGGGCGAATGTTCGGAAGCGGAATTGGAAAAAGAGCTCGATGAGGTGATGGCGTATCACAAAAGATTCATCAGCATCGAAGCCATAGAAGTAAATAAATGTTCAATTTTGAAAGAAAATATAAGAAAGTATAAATTGCCTCCCCTAGAAACCAAAAAATTTGATGGACAAGTTAAAAATTGGCTTCCATTTTGGGGACAGTTTCAAAAGATTGATGAGGATAAATCCTTAGACGACTCGGATAAGTTCCAGTATCTAATTCAAGCTATGACACCAGGCACCGAGGTACGACAATTTATTGAATCTTATCCCGCAACAACAAAAAGTTACCACGAAGCACTCGCTGACTTAAAACAAAGGTATGCTCGAGATGATTTATTAATTCAAGTATATGTACGAGAACTTCTCAGTATGATTTTAAACAAAAACAACCAATCATTGACTCAGATTTATGACCACCTAAGCTCACATTTACGAGCATTAGAAACACTAGGAGTTACTAAACAAGGTTATGCGTCATTCTTATTGCCAATGGTGGAGTCGACCTTGTCAATGGAAATACTCAGAATATGGGAGCGAGTGAGACCACCATTTGGAGATGAACTTTCAGCACTATTAGAATTTTTAAAGAGAGAGGTTGAAAGTGACCAGAGAATAAAATTAACAACAGGCTTCAAGCAAGAAGAGAACTTACAAATAGAAAATAAAGAAATTACAGCAGCTGCGTTGGTGGACAGAGTAAGGCCCACTATCAAGAAAACAAGGTGTTTATGGTGTGACAAAGAGCATGCAAGTACAGAATGTTACAAACTGTATAAATTAAATTTAGATGAGCGTAAGGCACTTATAAAGAAGAAGAATGCTTGCATGTTATGTTTAAAAATTGGACATCATGCCAAGGTTTGTAAAACATTTGTCCAGTGCTTCATTTGTAAACAAAAACATTCAGTTACGCTTTGCCCCTGCAAGAAAGAATCAGAAAAAATACATGGGGAGAAATCAGAAACTCAAACAACTAGCAACTTTTCATCACCGGGATGCAATGTGACACTTCTACAGACCCTGATGGTTAAAATAGTCAATGGTGACAAGGAGGTGACAGTTCGTGCTCTTATTGATAATGGTGCTCAAAGGTCATATTTAAAAAGAGATGTGGCACAAAAATTAGGCTTAAAAAGTTCAGGTAAAGAAGTGCTCACACACAACTTATTCAGCGGAGTCCAGGTAAAATCTAGTGAACACAATATCCATAACATTTGTATTCAAAATAAATGTAATCAATCATTTGAGCTAAATGTGAAAGCATTAGAACAATCAGTAATTTGTAACAATCTGCCTAGTTATAGTAAAGATTTTGAGTGTGATATGATTATGCAAAAACATGGTATTGTGTTGACAGATACACACAAAGGTAATGACATATCATTGTTAATTGGGGCAGATTATTCAGGTTTCATAATGACCAACATCATGATAAGTTAAAAGAAGGGTTATTTGCGATTAAGACTAAATTAGGGTGGGTGTTACAAGGAAAATTAAATAAAACACAAACCGACACTACTAATATTTTGTACTGTTCATCAGAAATTACAGATTTTTGGTCACTGGAGTTGCTCGGCATCAAAGATCCTGTGGGGAATAAGAATAGGGTGCAAACAGAAGCTGAAGCTGTCATCTTATTTGAAGAAACCATCACAGTCAACAGCGAGGGACGATATGAAGTGGCACTACCCTTCAAGGTAGGCCATGAAGAATTGCAGAGCAACCGTGGCCTGGCTGAAAAGAGATTGGTATCTAGTACCAAGCTTTTGAAGTCTGAAGGTAAATTCCATGAATATGATAATATAATAAGTAGTTGGGAAAAAGAAGGCATAGTTGCAAAGGTACCTATAGAAGAAATAAATCAGACTTCACACTATTTACCACACAGGGGGGTGGTTAAAAATTCAAGTTTAACTACCAAACTACGTTCTGTGTATGATGCTTCAGCATGTGATAAAAATGGTAGGTCTCTAAATTCCTTCCTAAACAAAGGTGTGAATTATTTAGATAAGATACCTCACATATTAACCGGTTTTCGAAAAGGGGCAATTGGTGTGTCTGCTGACATTGCTAAGGCATTTCTACAGGTATCTATAAAACCAACAAATAGGGACTTCCTCAGATTTCTTTGGTGGAATGATGAGTATCAATCTAAACTGAAAGAGTACAGGCGCTGTAGAGTAGTATTTGGGTTAACCTCATGCCCATTTCTGCTATCTGCGACCATATCTCATCACTTAAATCATGTCACAGGTAAAGAAGAGAAAACAAGTAAATTGTTAGCAAAGTCATTTTATGTTGATAATTGCATCACAAGCCTGGATTCAAAAGAAGAAACAATTAAGTTTATGTCAGAAGCTAAAAATGTGATAAGTCGGGCAAAGTTCGATTTAAGACAATGGGTAACTTCATTGAAAGAAATTAATGAGACAGGAAACAAAGTAATATCAGTTCTTGGACTGTTATGGGACACAAAATCGGATAAACTTTGTAATCTAAACAATCTTCCTGCTAGAATTGATAAAATAACCAAAAAGGAATTAATGTCTATCATCCAAAGGATATTTGATCCTATAGGTTTCACAAGCCCAGCAACTCTGACAACGGTTACACCTAGATTACTGATGCAAGAGACATGGCGACGTGCCCTCGGGTGGGATGAAGTACTTCCTGATGACCTGATGGGAGAATTTGATAAATGGTTTCAACACATTTCATGCTTAGAGCAATGTAGGATCCCACGATGTTTGACTGAAAACTTCATGGCAAAATGTAAACTAAGTCTTCACATGTTTTGTGATGCTAGCAAAAATGCCTATGGCACATGTGTATTGCTGCGATCTGAAGCAGATAGTAAAGTGAGTGTTCAGATGTTTTCAGCCAAATCAAGAGTCGCCCCACCTGAAAAAGCATCAATACCTAGACTTGAGTTAATGGCTGCACTCATAGGTTCTAGATTATTAAATGAAGCTAAGAAAAGTCTGGGTATAGAAGGAATACAGGAATATTGCTGGACAGACTCAAGTGTAGAATTTTATTGGATAACAAGGAATCTACCGTGGAATGTATTTGTCTCTAACAGAGTCAAAGAAATAAGAGAAAATTGTAATCCATCCAATTGGCGTCACATTCCAGGCACTCTGAATTAGGCTGATGTGGCATCGAGAGGCTGCAATGCAGAACAACTACACACTCTTCGCTGGTGGGAAGGGCCTGCATGGCTAAGACTCAGTCAAGAAGAATGGCCAAAATCGCCAAAACGGTCATTACGTAAGGACAGGTGGCGGTATGTTAAACGGCACGGTGTCTGCTATAAATGTTTAGTATCGCGCCACGACAGGGACAGCTGCCCGGCGCCCGCGTGTGACTCGGACAATTGCGGAGAAGCGCATCATCGCTTGTTACACTATCCCGTATATAGCAATCAAACCGCAAGGAACATATTAACCCCTATTGTTGATGTGCCAGAGACTGAGAAAAATTCGGAAATTGTAACAAATATCAACACAAGTTTTAAGTCATTGTTAAAAGTGGTTCCTATTGATATTAACACGTTCATTACCACTACGATTTTCATGATGTCTTCTCAGATGCCGCCTACATTTTCCGGTGGACTCACCAGGTGAGTCGCCGGCACTGCTATATAAATTGAATCGACTCGCCACGCGAGTTCACTGGCACTACTTATGGTAAATTCTATGTTTTGTTATTTTTGTGGCCGTCACAGTGTACAACGCAATTAAAAAGTGTTTTAGGACTTGTCTTTTTTCTTTAAAAAGTGTTTTAGCTTGTAAAAATGGCTAAAAAAATCTTCGGATAAAAAAAAAGGTAAGTGTGTTTCGTAATTTAAGCAGTGGTTGTCAATCTTTTTAACTGTGGTTACTGTTAAGGTTATATTTTGAATTTGTAATATGTACTTGTAAATAGACAATTTTACCCTGAAATACGGGCTCTCAGTTTTAAGAATATTGTATCAGATTAAAATATATAATTTTTATTGCGAATTTAATTGATAACAATTAAA